AAAGAAATTCAAGAAAGCTTAAGAAAATTATTAAATTTTTTGAGCTATCATATAGAGTAATGATATATCACTATTACTTATGTAAAAATTGTAATAAATTAAAATATATTAACTTATCTAATTATATATTAATAATTAAAAGAATTTTAAAAAGAATATAAGAAAAATTTTAAGATAAGTATATATATTATAAAATGATATTATTTACTTTTAATTTAAATTTTAAAAATTAGAATCTGCATATTATAAAATATATATTAATAAAGCTTTAAATCAAATCAGATTAATCTGTTATCTGATTTGATTTAATTTAAAAAATTTAGATCAGATTAATAAATTTTGTTAATCTGTTTTGATAAAATTTAGGTTAACTAAATTATTCTTTATGAATGCTAATAAATTTTTAATTAAAATAATAATAAATAATTTAATTAGAGTAATAATAAATCAATTTTCTTGAATGATAATTAAAATAATAATAAATTATTCTTCTTGAATAATAATTATTCATTTAATTAAAAAATAAAAAAAATGATAATGTATTGTTCAATTAGAACAATAATAAATTTTTTTTAATAGTTTTAGAAATTCAATATAAATTTTATTTTTATTTTTATATTTCTATTATAAAATATAATTTTATTATTTAAATACCTATCATATTCTTCTGAAAACAAGCAACACTTTTTTTTATAATATTGTTTAATTTTGGATAGTTTAATAAAATAAAAGAAATTTGATTGCGTATTTATTAAATCATATAATTTTTGATGATCAAATTTCATTTATAAATTTATTACATAATAAATGAACAGGTTTTAAATCTGTTTTATTCTATATAATGGTAAAAAGGAAGATGTAAGATCAAAATTGTGAAATGAACACAAAATTTATACTCAGTTAAATATAAAAAAGAAAGAACACTAATAATTTGTAATTTTATAATATTTTTTTTTAATTGTAATAATAAAATACATTTATAATATATTCACAAAGCTAAATTATTTATTTACAAAAAAAAATTTCAATTTTTTCCTGAAGTGTTGCTTATTTTTGGTACCTATATAAAATAGGTATTGCTTATTTTAAGGAGTTGCTTATTTTGAAAAAATATGGTAAATAAGTAATAATATAATAAAAATATATTACATATTTTCAGAAAAATACAGTGATTATTATAGATTAAAGTCATATAATATTGAAATAAAATAAAAAAATATTTAGATGTTAATTTATATTAACTTAAATTATTTAGGTTAAATAAAAATGTGATCTTAATCTAATGAGTTTAATTGAATTAGAATATATGATAAAAATAATAGTTCTTATTTAACAAAAAATTTAAGTCAAGTTAAATGATTTAGGTTAATTTAAATAACTCAAAGCATTAAATATAAATTTTTCTAAAGTATTAAATAAATTTTGCATATCATTCTGATAAAATATCCTTATTTTTAACATTTATAAAATTATATTTCTTATAAATTATAAGTTTTAATTAAGCTATTTTATAAGATATATAAAATCTAAAGATATTACAAAAAAGCTAAAGTCTTACAAAATTAAATTAATAATTAAACTTGTATTTTAAAACTTTTTTTTTTTAAAAATATTAAAATCTAATTTAGTTTTAATCCAGTCTTGAAATTCCAATCATTAAGAAGATTCAGTCTATAATCTTGAGTCCTAAGATTGAATTCTAAAATTAAGTTATAAAATTGCAGTTCTAGGATCGTTATCTTATAAAAATTAGAACTTGCAGTCTTAGAATTATAGTCTTAATAATATATAAAGTTTTAGTTTACTAAAACATTATATATAATAAATATTTTTAGTAGAATTATTATTTATTGATGATAATATATTATTTAACTAGAATGATAAAAAATCATTTAATTAAAAAAATAAAATTTGTTTAACTAGAATGATAAAAATTATTTAACTTTAACTTAAATAATAAAATAAAAATTACTTAAAAAAATGAGAAATTATTTAACTTGAATAATAAAAAATAGTTTAAAAAGAATGATAAGAAATTGTTTAATTTTAATGATAAAACATACAGTAAATTATTTAAAAAGAATGATGAAAAATCATTTGATTTAAATAATAAAATAAAAATCATTTAAGAAGAACAATAAGAAATGATTTGACTTAAATAATAAAAAGATCATTCAAAATGAATAATAAAAATCATTTTAACTAGAATAATTAAAAATATTCTTCTTAAATAATTATTTATCATTTAACTAAAATGATAAAAATTCATTCTTTTGAACAATTTTTATTTTATTAAAGTCAAATGATTCTTTATTACAATGGTTGAAATCAAAAAAATTGAACATATAAAAAATCAGCTCAAAATTAGCCTAAAATTGATAAATTATCAAAATTGGCTTAGCCGATTACTATCATTAAAAATTGGTCAAGAATGAATCAGCCAAAATCAATTTATCTTATTTATAGCCAATTAGCATACTTATATCCAATTGGTATATATTAAAAATCGGCTGAAATTTGAACTATTTTATTTATAGCCAATTTATATTTGATTAATATACATTGAAAATAAGCTAAAATATATCAAAATAAAATAAATTTCAGAAGAAAACATATCAGTTATTGTTATTTTATAGGATTAACAGCCAAATTAATTCTCTGAAAGATTCAGTTTAGTTTAGATTATACAATTGAAATAATAACTTTGAATTGTTTTAATTAAACAATGTTTATATTATTTTAAAGTAATAATATTTGTATTATTTCAAAGAATAATATTTGTATCATTTTAAAGAAATAATAATTTTAACTGTTACTAAAGAACAATTTCTAATCTAAAAATTATTTGATTAAAATGATTGTATCATTCCAATTAAATGAAAACAAAAAAATTTTTTAACTCATAACTTCCGGGGGCGGCTAATCCCCTTATCATTTTGTGATATTTCCTGCGATTCCCTGCACCAATAATTTCTTTTCTTTTCATTTATTTTTTCTCTTTCAAACTTTCTTTCGTGTATTTTTTTATTTAGTATTTATGAATTTTAAAAAATTATTTTTTTTTTATTGAATTGATTTTTTTATTTTAACTTTATCTTTTATAGGATTCGCTCTATTTAATTCAATTTATCAGGTATTCAGCCCATAATGAATTTTAAAGTTGAAAATTTACTAAATTGAATTTTATCCACAAAAGTTCTTAATGCATATTTTATTACTTAAGCCTGCTTCTTTAACAAATCGTTAGTAATTAAGTGTTTTTGTTGGCATTGTGGCTCCACGTTAAATTTGAAATTCCAAATTACAGCAAATTCGACTATTGTATAAGCCGAAATTTATTTTGCAAAACAAATTCCCTCTGCTTGTAACTTACAGCCAATTTTTGAAGAATCTAATCGATTAAAATTAAAAGGCCATCATAGAATTTTCAATTACTATTTAATTTATTTGAAACAAAATATAAAGTAAAAGGTTGCAATTTAATAAACTTAAATCATCGAAGTGGTCATTAGGGATATATTTGGATATCCCAATTGCGAATTCTAATATGAGAAACGCGTTTCGGATATCAACGCATGAATTTTATGATAGGAACGTTAAAGTAGCGGATTTAATATAGAGAAATTGAAATAAATTATAAATAAACTAGTTGGTGCCTGCTGCGCTGCAGCAGGTTATGAGAATAGAGTATTTGAAGTTTTTTTTTATTTATTAAGTTATAATAAATATAAAAAGTGTTTATTTAATGGGTAAGAGATAAAATGTATAATTATATAATAAACATGCATATTTTCCTTGTCAAAACACACATCTTTCACATATTAATGTAAAACCATTAATTTCTAAATGCAAAACCGAAGAGATTTGTTTTATTTAGAATCCATAGTAAATAATTTTTTGACGTGCTTTGAGAAATCTTGTACTGACAATGGCATTTTTTATTTTATTTGAAAAAAAACTTGGAAATAATCATATATATATTTTTTACACTTTTTTTTTGTATTTTTTAGATAATAAAGAAAAATTTGAAAATTAAAATAAAAAAAGGTTGTAAAATAAATATTAAGTAAACAATCGAAAAATTTTAAATAATAAGAGGAAGTTCAATTTTATTTTATTGTTGAGATGATCTATATAATATTGAAACAAATTTCGATTGTATTTTAGATATAACGATAAGATATATAACTTGTTGTTAATTAAATAATTATTTGCAAAAACTTATTTTAGTTATCACGTAATAAATTAGCTTAATTATTTTAATTTTAAGAATAAAGATAAATTTACCATTCTTTAATTAATTATTTGTTACGAAAGGAAAAAATGTCAATAATCCGATCATCACTACCAAAATAGTAAACTTATATCACAAGGTTACACAATTCAAAATTTTTTATACAGGTAATCTAAACGTTACCGATCGACATGGATTTTTTATATTATAGATTAATGTCAAAAAAAAAAAGTAAAATTTCAATTTCTCCTTCAACGACCATGGCGTGTTTAAAAGTATTTTCCGGAGAACGTATAGATATACTCGATGTGATTATACAAATTTTCTATATTCGACATAAAATTACTTTATTAGTGCATTTTTGTTTAAAGAAATTTTTTGTCGAAATTCAATCCCCATACTTTGGGAAATTCTTTTGATGGTTTATCTATTTGTGAATTTTATAAACTTTCTTGACATTTATTTTCAATATATAAATCAAGAAGATAAAAAATACCTAAAGGAACTTGGAATTATAATCCCACCCACATATAAAAAACATTTGTTTAATTACCCCGTTACATTAAAACACTTAACTTTTCTCGAGTCGAAGTGCATATAGTGTTCCGGGTGAATAGATCAAAAAAAATATATCCTTTTATGAAAAATTTGAGTAGATAACAATAAAAAACTAAGTTGATTACAAGTGAAGTGATAAAATCTATTTGTATCTCATTAATTAAGACGTTTGCAAACAAATCAGAAAGCTTCCCTAAATCATTTAATTATGGGAACCAATCATGATTACGATCATATTATGCCAATATCCAAAATAATTTTGGAACATCCAGAGTTGATATCAAATATTGAAAAGTTTTCCTTAGAATCATCTCCTTATGATCGTGGTTTTATTAATGATAATTTTGCACCAAATTTAACATCCTTACAAATTAATACTCGCGTTAGTTCATCTACACAAAGTTCATATATTTAATTCGATCAAATCTCTAACTTTAATCTCTTTCGATTAATAAAACACCAAATGCTATTAAACATTATTCCAATTCATTAACTTCAATTAAGTTTGAAGTTTGTAATTTTACACTTGCCCTATCTTTGGATGGGTTTGAATCCCTTAAAATGGCTTAGATCTCTTCAGTTTATAAATTGTTTAGGATTAACGATGCAAATTTTAAAACCATTAATTGATCTTTTAAATGTATTGGTACAATCCCAGGAATGGATTTATTACTTCAATTGTTTGGTTCTTATTTAGAATATTTGGAATTAGGATTTTTTTTTTAGATCCTGTGAAGAAAGTAGTTTTAGAGAGCATTGTCAAATATTTTGACAACATTATATATTTAAATTTATCATGCTCTGATAAAACGGATATCGATATAACAAGGTCATTCAAAAGAAGAAACACTTGGTATCTTAGTATTAAAAGTGAGCATAATTTTAAAAACAGTCCGTCAGAATCAAATTTTTTTAAAGGGTTTGGAACTTTTACCAAATCGTTTGAATTACTTAAATTTGAAATTTCCATTGAATTCATTTTTGGATAATTGCAATCACCATGTTTCTTTGAACACATTAATACTTAGAAACTACTGTTACTATAAGGATACCGATACCTCTTTTATGATTTTCAAAAATTTTGTAGAACAGAATAAGGTGAAAAATGTTGTACTGTATATCAAGTTGTAGATTCCTTTAGTTCTATGGATTTGGAACATCTTCATGAGTTTGGCCGATCAACTTCAGACTTTTGTTAACATTAGGATGTATAATGATTTGGTTGTTAACATTTCTAATTTTTAAAGAAATTTATATATTAAAAATTATACGAGTTATTATCAAACGTTCGATTTAACAAATTGTTATTATAAACTTATTTATGTATTTTTTTTTTTTTTTATAAACTTTATTATTTGAATTATTGAATAATTCACGTAATTTAGTGTCAAACATTTTGTTATTCTTAAATAAAAAACCGTCGCATACTTTTATTGGTGTATCAATTTAATATATATAACTTATTGAACTTGAAAAAGTTTAATTGTAAGGCAAAAAAAAAATATATTTTTTATATTAATTGCAAAAATGAACATAATATTTTAATTAAAGTCATTAATAATGTGCGAGTATAAAGAAATTAAAAGTAATTCTTTGATTAATGTTTAACAAAGGTTTTTAAATTTA